CCCAGTTGTCTTGGTTTCATACTGACGACTGTCTGGGAAAGGTCTGTCTGGGGTTCAAGTACATTAAAGTCATCCGCTCCCCTCCCACTGAGCACCAACACAGATGGCTCCAGATGCAGCTGGCACAGCATGGAGCAGCACCTGACAGTGCTCACTCACTCAGACACACACAAAAATGCACATATACAAGTATAAACACATGCATACACATAAACATGTGCACAAACTCAGGTGCACAAAGGTACGGACACATCTGCTCACTAACTGTACCTAAATGCAAGTAAAATTACCCACACACACACACACAATAATGGGAGCGCATACACTCACAACTATAAATACATAGACACTCACTCACAGCAGGAACATATGCTGCCACGCATCTACAAATCCTCACAGTAGCGCACATACGAAGAAGCAATTAAAGACCTAGATTACCGAATGGCGCACACACACATTCAAATGTAAACCCACACATATTGTGCTCACTTTCAAACATATGCCAGGGCATGCCGGGGTACACATGAGCACAGTGCAGAAAGCCCTTCATCTCTGCAGGAGCGAGCAGCAGAGAGGGGAGCAGGACAGCTGAGAGAAGTCAAATTGAGCAGCCTCACCATTTGTAACACAGAGAAAGAGATGTAAATTAAGGACAATGTGTTCTATTGTACTGCAGAAGACGCTATAGTTATTAGGCCTTTGTGTTCGAATAGGGTTTTTACACAGACCCACTCAACGATAGGGGATTGCATTGCCAGGCAGTTGCACATGATGATAAATTAAACACAGCTGATTTTTGGCCAGTGAAAGAAACATGCCTCTTTTAAAGGTATTTCCTCCTTAGTAAAAGCCATTTTAGCAGAATTGAATTGCCAGTTTCAGGTGATACAGGATATCCTTACACAGCAGATATGATAACAAGGTTTTACAGAGATGCAGCTAAATGATGATGATCCAGATGTGATACACAAATCTTATTTGACAAATTGAACAACCATGTTTACATTCAGGAATGGCAGGGCAGCATACATTTGCATGAAATGATAGATCCCAGTGAACTGCTGGTGTGAAACAAAATGGGAAGATTGTTCTTTCCCCAAAATTGAAATACCACTCAGACATGTGTCGTTATTTAACTATTCTGTCTATCAGCAATGAAGTCGTTGGGATTAAACTTTTATTTAATCATGCAACTGACACATATCATTGTAACGCTTAGACAGCTTGGACTTGGAGAGTTTAATAGACTGGAGAGACTGGATTCTTAGATTCACTCCCCGTCTCCTCAACTATTCTCAGCTAACTAAGGTCACAGATAAAGGCAGGGGACATCAGCCGTCACAGGTGAGCCAAACATTCAACCTGTGATGACAGTGCAGTTTTCATTTTTTCCACTGCTGTATTATTATAGCATTAAAGTGTTCAGTACAAATAAAGTAATTACGGAACTTGGATATTGTGATGATTTTTGCTGCCAATGTGGAACAAAGCATTTATGTGAAGCACATAATGCCTTGTACATTGTATAATAAATAATAAATAAACAATACTAAGTCGTTACTTAGTTACACATAACCTTTAAATATATATTTTATTAAATATATGAGGTGTATTACGCATTTGCCTCAGCGGTGTTGGTCGGGACGACCTTAGCCAGTGGGACAAACACATGGACTCACATGCACTAAAACAGAGAAGCCCTGAATACAACACACACACACACATAGTAATATTGGGCCTGGTTATGGACATTAAACTGTATTGTATTGCAAATGCACTTTATGTATATGTTGTTGTATTTTTTAGCACTTAATTAGCCTGTCATTTTATGATGTAATCATGTGCAATGCCACTTTTTCTATTTAGTAGGTGAAGTTACATTTAATAGGAGTAAAACTCACACAGGCACAGAGGGCGGCTCAGGGGTCCTTCAGGTGAAACGCAGTTGGGACATCACTCGGCTTGTGCTCTTGAATGTTAAAGGTAAGCTAATGTGATCACGAGATGTTGTGTAAAAGTATTGACACGAATGTATATATATATATATATACATATACATATACATATACATATACATATAGTTTAATGGCGAGCATGTAATGTGCGTCACCTGCTAGTTTAATTACACCTGGAGTGTAACCACCTTTAGCTATATCGTGAGTTGTGCATATGTACTGAATGGTATCAGTTAATGTTTTTAGCGGGTTAGTTGTTAGCAGACTTTCAGTAAGTTATGTGTTTATATAAGACCAGAATGTAAACGAATGTTAATTCCGATAAATCACTCATTAGACAGTGCCGAGTGTCTGTACGTTTGTACTGTATGTAACGGAATGAACGAACGAAATAAAGGATTTGGTTTTAAACTTATGCACGCCTGGAAGTCCCTTTTTAATGTCCAAGTGCGCTACACATGCTAGATTCCCTGCTCACAATGACATTACTCGACTAAATCTTTACATATCAACGACTTTTGCTGCTATATTAATTATTTTTCATAGATCACATTGTAGTCGCTTCAAATATCACAGCTTAACTCAAACCTCCAGCTGCATAATTTTACTGCAGATATCTCATTGTGATGTTTTTAAAATATCTTTAAAAGTTGTATTCACTCTGCATAATATAATAACAACTTCTTAACTTTAAAACCTTATTTTCCCAGCAGTACCCCTCACTGTGGCTTTCAGCCATGCTAATTTTTCATCTACATCATTTCATTGAGTTTTAATTAACACTACAAGGATTCAGTGTCCTCATATGACATCACTCGGAGCACAAATTCAACCTCATTAGCTCTCAATATCTCTTAAACCAAGCAAAATTGTGTAATGCTGCACCCGGTTTTAGTGTTATAAGAATGATGATGTACATAATGAATTGACTTGTTGTTCAAGCAGCTATCCCCTAAACTATGCTGCTAAGATCCTTGACTATCCCTTTGGCTACTTTGTTATTAATAAGACTGAGACATAAGGAGGCACACCATCCCTTTACATCAGCTTTTCCAGTAGCTTGACTCTCTTTTCTGTTTTACTAAAAAGCCAAACTCAGAGAGCTCTTTGCTGAATACATTTTACAATACATTACAGGTCGTATCAGTTTGTACTTTGTACCATCTTCTTTTTTACCTACCTCTTTATCCTCTAACTTGTATGATTTTCTGCAGTCTGATTCATCTCCCCTCGGCTCCATAGAGAGCCATTGAACTGTCTCAGAACTTGTTCTAATACATTTACACCATTACAAAGTGTCAGGCAACTTCTCCTTCAATTGCTGCTTGCCTTCTGCGTGACAGCTGGAATTAAAGTGGTTACACTACAAATGTTACATCAGCCACTTGGAGAGAAAATGCATTGTACTTGTTACAAGACCAGGGCACATTTACAGCCTACTGCTGTACTGCAATATTCTGTTAAAAGAATTGCCTATTGTTGAACAGAGACGTCTGCTGGCTCTGTGTGCGCTGGAAATGCCACTGCTTCATTAAATGAACTGCAGTCAACATATTAAGTTCAGTCCCGTTTGAATTCTTGGCGCATTCAAGATATTTGGAGAGTGAAGCCCTATAGCTGCCGGTGTTACAGTTATGTCTTTAGGTGATCTATTAAATGTTATAATTCAAAACAAGCTCTTTATGGATTGCTTATGATGCATGCTTAGCACATGATTGACCTGACCTTTTAGAGACCGTTGTTCTTTGGAAAAACATCAGCCTTAACCTTTTTTAGCTGGATTACCCTGCCAGCGTCTCTGTATATATGTGTGTGTGTGTGTGTATGAACATGCATGTATTAGTCGTAAAATCCATCTAACAACGCCTGCTTCAAATGCTTTTATATGGTTTGCGTCGATGACAAAAAATAATACATTACTGATTGATTGATCAATCGCGTCTGAAAGGGTATGAGTAAGTGTGTGTGTGTGTGTGTGTGTTTGCGCCATGGCTTGATGCAGAATAGAGATTGATGGAGGCTTGCCGTGAGGAGGATGCTCAGTTATCTCCTTGTAATTAAAATCCACCTCATAAAGATTATTGACTCCCCCACCACACAAACCAGCATGCTCCCTCGCTTGGCAGGGTTTGCAAAGCGCTTCTTAAAAAATGAAAAATAGCATATTAAGCAGCACATATTTCCCATTTATGCGGAACATTTAGATGTGGTTAAGTTATCGTAATGTGCAATAAAACCTGGATGTGAAATTTGTAATCCACTTTGGAAAATTGCTTACTATATTGCTTTAACATCCCCTGAAAGAGCTTTTGAGATGTGTGTGCCAGGTTTATTGTACGCTATAATTTAAAAGTCCTCAATGCAGGCAGTAAATATACATTTATTAGTGGCAGGTTTAAATAGGCAGACTGAGGTAGCATGAGTGAGTGGATGCTTGAGTGTTTTCTGTATGCGAGTACATACAGTGCGTGTGTTATTGTGTCTTTGATAAATGCCAACTGTGAATGCGCTTTCTCTGCTCAACAAACCACAGAGACAGGTGAGTGGGTGTTTGTGGGGTAACTGTCTCAAGACAGCGATGTAAATCTACTCCTTGCTCAGAATGAAACCAAAATAATAAGATGTAAATATTACAACTTTTAACGTGTCTTATCGGGGGTCAGTATTTTTAAAATATGGTTTTGTCTGTGGTAGACTGGGGACTATAGTTTCTTCCTCACCCCAGCACTTTTGAAAGGGCACAACCACTTGTGATAGTTGTGTTATTCGAGCGTGACACTGACAACATCATTTGTTTGTGGTTTTTTTAACAGTCCCTTGTAAAAATGATCATGGACCTACAATGAGAATCTGGCTACACATTGGAGATGGTCAGAAACATGTGACCAGCATACCAATAGATCATAATTTGGCTTCTTTTACTTCTAATTGTTCAGATTAAAATTCATAAAATAAGTGGCAAGGTGACATTGTATGTATTTCTGATGTATCTGTCGGAACATTTCGCCCCTTTGGTTCATATCTCCAGCAGGTGCAGAGCTGCTTCTCTTGGGACAGATCCTCTGTGTGTTCTGGGTTAGTGATTACCCAGGCCTCAAAAGCTCTGGACCCCACAGCCTGTTCCACCGGCTGGCAGGAAGGTGTGTATGAGAATAACTGGACACATGTTTTCAGACTCTTCAGGTCTAAAGTAGATGACAGACCCAAGGTTTTCCCAGTACATGAGTTTGAGCTGCATATGCATATATTTTTAAATGGTCTGCACTTTAGCACAGACAGCTGAAATGTGCACTGCTTTCTGGTTTAAAGTCTGAAGTATGTAGCGCTTGAACACCTCCTAATCGATGATGTGATAAAAGCATCACTTATTGGCATCAGAATCTTTAATGATCACCTCATCGAATACAGTTAAACAAACTTTCTTTTAATTAAAGTTCCATTGGATTCAGCTTAATATAAACAATCCTGTTGCAGGGGGGTCTTGGGGAACATTTATGAGATTATACCTCATCTGATCTGCTTTGAAATCTTGCCTAAAATACATTTTCATTTTATGCAGGTGTATGATGTCGCCTGTGGAACCTAGCATGTGATGGCCCTCAATACAAGTGAGTAGACTATCCACTATCCCATGTTCATATCTCTCTGGTTAATTGTTTTTGGGGGCAACGAGAGTGCGTCACCATAGGCAAACCAGGGAAATTCATGTTTTGTATCTTATTTCTCGCCCCTTTTCCCACCACACTCTTCTCATCTCTCCAAATGATGTCTTGCTCCTCCTCAAAGCCCCTCCTCACTCACTTTTTCACTCATCAAACCATAATTCACTTCAGAGGGAGGCATCATTAATGCACAGTAGGACACAGCAGCTTGATGTGTGCTAATTATATTGTGTGTTTTACACGCTGGATGACTTTTGCTTAGTCAGTGATGAGCTCAGTCTCTGGTAATTGTTTTTTGGATGTGATGAGTTTATAAAAGCCTGTGTGTGTGTCAGTATGTCAGTCCGTGAGTGTGTGTGTGTGTCAGTATGTCAGTCAGAGTGTGCGTGTGTGTACTTATGCATGGTGAGGGCATGCAGATCCTCTGCCTATGTGTACTCTTGCATTAAAGCTGTGTGCATACATGTATACAACATACACTGTTTTTATAAGGAGCCAGAAAGACAAGATTATTCCACTGCTCCACACATCACACGCTTTAGTGAACTTAAAAGTGATTACCAAACAGTCAAAATCTCAAGATCATTCTGACACATTAAAACTGCATGCAACTTTAAACTCTCATCAATCCCCACACAACTTTGACATGTACCGTCAACCATGGCACGGCACTCCATGACTTGCTTACATTCTCCACAACCCATGTGATCCTTTTAGCACTGTACATCAGTCAGTGCTTTTGCTAGAAGTGCTGTTGAGCCTCTGGCTAATCATGCTGATTGGAGGTGTCCTTTGGCTCACCTGGGGGCTTCCAATCCTATTAGGCCAACCGTCCTGAGCCTAGCGCAACCAGCAGCCGCTCGTGTTTGATCACTGGTGCTTAGAGCCCACACTTGTCCTCTTATGTTGGTATTAAGGTATGGAGGAGAGGAGCGGCAGGGTGGGGTTTGGTGGGGGGGTTAAAATGTGATCTCCTTAACTCTCTAGGGGGGCAGAGGGGAGTTTGGTGCCTCACCTCCCTCACTGACACTCCTCTGCTCTTCCAACTGGAGCTGGTCTTTAAACTTCTGATGTTAGTTGAAAGGCGGAACACGGCAAGTGGTTTCCAAGCAAAAAGGAAAGAGATGGAGGGAAGAAAAGATTGAGAGAGGGGGGCTAAGAAGAGAAGTTTGACTGTGTAAGTTGTGTTTTCATCTTTAAAGAAATATTTGAGTGTAGGTTGTTTCGAAGATTCCTCAACTTTATCACATCCGTCTTTTTTTTTTTCTTCTCTCTTTTCTTAATCTCTCTTGTTCTTTCTCTGTGTCAGTCTATGGAAGTATGGAAGGTATGCCATCTCTTTGGAAGTCAACACACCTGGTCCCACAAGGCCTGTCACCTCTTTCTGCCCTATTTTCTCACATGCTCTACCTTCCCCCATTACTCCCTCTCCCAACCTTCCTCCTGGCTGCTATTCTTCCTCACTGCACACCCATCACTATATCTCTCCTGTGGCTCTCCTTTTTCCTCCCCTTTTACTCCTCCTTCTCCTTCTTCCTCCCGCTTCTCCTTCTTCCTCCCCTGGCCACGAGCGCCCAGGAAGAGCCATGTGTTTCCAAAGTGGACTGGATGGGAAATCGAAGCAGGGCTTCTGTGTTTATCAAGCCACAGCTCCGTCACCTTGCTCCTACTCCCGTCTGGAGGCCCCGGCAAATTGGTGACAGCAGCAACAACCCTGCAGCACACATGCCCCTTCTTTTCCCCTGTGTGCATGTCCACACACACACACACACACACACACACACACACACACACACACACACACACACACACACACACACACACACACACACACACACACACACACACACACACACACAGAGCACCTTGGCCTGTTTAGTTTTATTGCTGGTGTCAGGTGAGGAGGTGGAGGTAAGAGTGCTGTCTAATGTTCACCTCACACACACACACACAGACACACTCACACACAGTCATTTCCACCCCTGCCGACACCTTGGCTAACAAGACCTGTGAACCGCTGTGACAGAACTCGGAGTCTTGTCAGAGTCCCAGTCATTTAATGCCAAGACCCGGCCTCAGCTCTAACCCAACAGGGTTTCTGTATGCACACCAAGCCACAATAGGCCACACAGTGATATACTGAACATGAGTCTACTGAATAGTACTCCTCCAGGTTCATACTGTTTAGGTTATTACTTTACCAGTCAGAAATCTAAGGAATGATTTCTATACACTACTTGCATAGAGTGATAGTAGAGTTGTCTGATATTGAATGGAGTAAATGTGTGTGTCTAATGTGACATGGTTCAGTTCAACATCAGACATGACTTATGTTAATCCTCCTTTCTGTCTACTTTCCTTTGTTACATTATAGTTATGTGTCTGTACATCTGCTTTATGCACAGGCATCTTTATCTGAAGAATCTGATAGTCTTGAGTCATTACAAGTAGATTTGCATGGACCAGTGCTCCTTTTGTTGCATGCGTAAAGAATGTTTGCTCCTCAATGCCTTTTTGTTCAGTGCCTCCCTATTTTCTCTGCTCTTATCACAAGTGTAGGAGAAAGGAGAGTTGACTGGGGTTAGAGCCCTGCACGGCCTGGCTACCTTGGAAATGAACTGTACAAACAACGTATGGCCATTGTGCCTAAGCGCTTACAATGATGCCATTTAAGAGAGTATTGATCCTCCCAGTGCAGGGTCAATCATTGGATCAATGGTGTGTGGGCTGGTTGGCTTGAAGGCTGGTTGACTGCATGAATGAATGAATGAATGGATGGATGGTTGGATAATGGATGAATGGATGATGGGTGATGGATGGATGGATATGGATTGATTCAGGGTGGATATGAAGACTGATGTGTGTGGAGACAGCAGTGTCAGGTCTGTCCAAACATGAACTTGTTTAGGTCTAAAGGTTTCCGTTGTCTATAATGTGAGATTATGTCCTGGTGTCTTGTACAACTGACATCACCAATATTTAACACCAACCTGCTTTATGCACAGGCATTTTTTTATCTGAAGCATCTAATAGTCTTGAGTCATTATGTAGTTGTGCATGGACCACTTTTCAAGGTTTGCTGGTCAAGGCCTTCTTTCAGTGCAGTGTTTCAGAGTACACCTGTCAAACATTGCCAATATTCAACACACTGGAATGAACCCTTAGCTAATTCTATGTTTCTCATAATCAAATAAATGTATCTATTTTATGCAACAACAAACATATTGTGTGTTACTTGGTTATAACTTTTTTAGACTTTGCTTTGTTACTGAGGAGGGCATACCCTTACAGTACATCCAATATGTATGTGAGCTAAGTACCTACTTTTACTTAGATATTTACAAGCCGAGGTTGACATCCCTCAAGGAGTAACACTGTATAAATAAAGCTGTATTTTGGCATAGAAGGGGGTAAAGTAAAGATATAAATTAAAAAGAGTCATTGTCATTAGCATGTTCTTGGTGGATTCTTATTGATGTGTTTACACCAGGGTTGATTGACCTAGTTACCCAGCCCTTGGCAGCACAACATGGAGAAATGTAACACAATGCAACACAAGGGAGAGGTGTAGATGCCTTTATTATTCTTACATGTGAGACACATGTGAGACACATGTGAGTGAACACACACGTAAACGCACAGAAAGCAATGATCATCAGGGGCTCACAGAGGTCGTGCCTCATGACAAAAGAGAGAGGGAGAGAGCTTATTTACAATTCTGTAAGAGATGTCAATTGTGCCCTCTGCATATTTCTATGGAAAATGTGTAAATAGATCCTTTGTAAATAGCTTCTCTCTTGCCAATCACCCTGTCTGCTCTCTGCACCGCAGCATTAAAAATTGATCCTTAGCCGCACTAGGGTGAAATGCTAACATCGCTGCCAAATGACTGATTAAAAAGAAAAACCTTTAATCTTTGCTTAAAAGTGTCTACTAGCTTGGCATGCCTTTCCCCTGTGCTCCTCTATCTTCCAAGGCTGTAAAAAGAAGGAGGGGGTCGCCGTGGGGGAAACGGGGTCACGCTTCATGTAGAGTCAGCGCTGTACACTGATATAGCTTTAGAGGTGAGGGATTTCACTAAGAGCAGATCTAGGAATTGACATGCATTGCTCTCCTCTGGATGTAACCTTAAGACAAAGGTTAAAAACACATTTGAGCATTTCACAAGAGGGGGTGAATGTGTTGGCACTCCTTCTAATGACTTGCAGAAAAAGCAGCTAAGTTTATCTAACCTGCCAGGCGAGTAAAGAACAATCAGCAGATAGTTTGACATGCTTTCAGATTTGTCAGTTGCAAAGAAATATAAATTGACACTCTTTCTCTTAATGATGTTTAAATAGTGACATGGCAACTGAAAAGTCATGAAATAAAGAAACGTGAGCAAAAGATGTCAAAAAAGAAGACGCAAAAGGGCATCGAAGTGTTGATCGGAGGTGATGAGAGGTGTGTTTGTGTTTCAGAGGGGAAACTCAGAAACTGAAGCTTGATTCAGAGACCTTGACAGCGATCCCCTCCCAACGCAGTGAAAGAAAACACAGTGAAAGTAAGATAAACATACCTCCTTTCTTGCTCTATAGCCCTATTATTGACATACTGTATAACTCAATCTGTGACTCGCTCTCTAACTCAACAGCTCCCGAAACTCTTGCAGTGGATCTCTCCTGATTGATATCTTCCTCTTCCACACTCCATGCCCGCCTTGTTGACATCCTCATTCCCACACATGCATTGTTTGCTTCTCAAATCGTCTTTCATTCATTGTTGCAGTTTCTTTAAACATGCTGTAAATCAACATAGTGATAATGGTATACCATAAGGAGTTGCAGTTGAGTAAACAGCACAACCCTCCGAGCATTAAGTGGCGAATATATTCACTCACCTCTGAATATCAGTGAAGACCACTAAACTGTCACCCAGAGCCACACACACACACAAGCTCCCGCCCCTCCCTGTCTCTCTGTCATTCAGGTGTTTACTGTCATTCATACTCAGGGTTTTTGTATAATCCTCTCACCACACCTGAGCGCTCTCCACTCAGTGTCACTGGATTTACTCCCCCTCTCTCACTTCCCCTCTCCTCCAGTGCACAGCCTTTTTCATTTTGCATCACAGCCATTCTTTTACACACGTTGTCATTTCTTATGTAAATAACCGCAGATAAAAAGACAGTAACAGACATTTTAAGATTTACACACACACCGCTAGGCGCGTATGTTTTCAGTCATCCCCTCTCATCAGCCAGTTTGTTTGTAGAAGTGTCTTTGCCTGTAGCCATAAATTAGGGGTTGTGATTTAACTCATTGAGACAACAGAGAAAGACAACGAAAACATGAATAAAACAAATGATGTGGAGAAGGTGAGGGAGAGGGAGACAGCGAGAAGAGGAGGGTGAACTGAAGGCAGAAATGGGCCAGTATGTATTTCTGCTCTACTTTCACTTGGGGAAGGCTTCATTAAGAAGTCTGTTTCCAGAGCATGGTGGAATTTATCCGGGTGCACGTGCGTGTTCATGTGTGCACAGAATCGTGCGTATATGTTCATAGGTTAACGATCGTGTTGATGCACACGCATACATGTGTGCATGCTCGTAAAAATGTTTGTGTGTTCATTGAGAAAGGGTCTCTTAAATGATTTACTCCCAGAACTATCTAATTGGAATCAAGTTTTTAAATGGGGTCAAATGTTGTGGTGCAGTCTCATGCAGCTTTTCTCTTGCCCTAAGTCTGTATCATTATATCTGGTGCTACAGTGCTGTTGTTTCATTGGACTTGAACATCTAAATGCTGTATTTGATGATTGACTCTGGCTCTGCTCTCAGGCTGAAGCAGAGGAGGAAATGGTACCGCGTTAGTCTGTTTTCTCATGGCTGTTACATAGAAAACATTCTCGAAGAGATCGGGTTAGTTGTAAACATCAAACAGAGGTGCGCTCACTTACACACACACACACACACACACACACACACACCCAGAGCCTAAGGCAGCGCACAGAGCTGGTATTAGATTTAAGCCCCCTAATAAAGCCAATTAGAATTACACTGTGCACTGATGAAGGCAACCTAACAAGGGCATTTCTCTCACCTCCACACACACACACACACACACACACACACACACACAACAATAGACTGTAGTTGATTTATGGTAACGGTGTCAAATGTATTTTCCTTATTTCAGACAATGGATACAGTAGGTACATATTTAGGCTAGTTTCTTAGGTAAGTTAAATCAATTACTTAAAAATATAAGTCAAGAGCAAACGTAAAACTATTAAGATTAGATTAGGTTACCTTGTGTCCAATAATGCACACATTACTGCCCTAAAGTAAGACCCACTCTTCCTAGAAAAGTACACACTGACTAAATTGTATTAATCATGACTGTTGCATGAACTCAACTTTAAGCTGTGTTGGCAAAGCAGAGGTTTGGATCAGAAGTTAATCTGTCAAGAGTTCATGAAAGCACATGGGTGCAATTTATACAATTTCCATCCTTTTTATATAAGTAAATACCTACTATCAAATGTTGTCTGTTTTCCTATCAATCGACTATTACATTAAATTCAAATTGTCTCACAGTAGGAAGAACCTCAACATATATTGTGTATCACCCAGACAGGAATCCAGACAGGTTCAACTCAAGCTGCTTCATGGTCTGGAGAGACCAGAGAGCTCTGAGGAGCAGGAGAAAGAGGAAGAAAGTGAGATTGCAGAGGAAGAAGAAAAAAGACCAAACAAAGATGAGGGAGATGGAGCGTGACACGATTCAGCATTTGCCATTGCCAGGTCTTCAACAGGGATGGACAGAAAAGGAAATGGCCACTCATCAATCAAATCTGGCCAGGGGAATGGGAGAGAATGTTGCAGGACAGCAGGGCCGTGGGAGCTGAGGAGAGAACCATGCAGAAGAAGGGACAGTATTTGCTACTTTGCATCTTCAAGCCAGGTCCGATGGAGAGATGGAGTTTTAGCTGAGGTGAGTGTTAATGTTGTTATCACAAACAAATAATCAAATTGCCTCAGTTTTTAGTTATGTTTAATGTTTGTCTTCAAAGAGAAGGAAAAAAAAGCTGGTTTTGCACATATTACATTTAAATGGTTTTTCTTTGCCCCCTGTGTGTACAATTCAAAGATCATTTTTACTTTTATTAGACTGAAAAGAGTTGATGGAAACATCTGGATGACCCGCTGATGTCACTGGGCTGCTGGCCCTCTTTGTTACACTAGTACTATGAATATCCACTCTCCAACATGCCTCAGAGAGCTAAGTGCTTGTGTTCTTCAAGAGGCAGTATTAAATCACTTTGGCCGGGATTAAAGAAGCAAGTATACATTAACTGGTTGGCAGGCTTGAGGTGTGACTTTAATAATGGACTGCTGCAAGAAAAGTAATTTGCAAACAGTAAACAGTTAACAATGACATTTAAAAACCTTTATATTCTCCAGGGACTGAACAAATGAAGAAATGGGAATTGTCTTCCAACAGAACATTGATATATAGTTTAAGTGTGTATATAATGTAATGTAATGAATTGGGTTTTTGCTCTTAATATATTACTTCATCAGGACGTGTCAGGGTTCAATATTATGTTAAAGCATCAGGTAATTTCACCAGCATCTAGTAATTGAATCCTCAGGACAAAGTAGGCTGTTCATATATATTCCTTTCTTGTCTTTGTCTATTCAGGAGAGATCTGCACATTGATGGAATTTGTCCAAATAACTTCCCAGACATCCTGGGAGATGTACAGGTCCTGCTGATCAGAGCGCAGCCTCTTGTCCCTGCTCAAGGAGAAGACCACACACTTGTTCAGAAGCTTTTTGTAGACCACATACAAAGCTAAATACTTTTAACTCCTAGGTGACTGACAAACAGCCTCTTTTGCTCTACAAGAGCTCTCCAAAACAGACTCCAGATCAGCCTTTAAATGGGCTCCACTCTACCCCACACTGTGATTTGGCAAATATGCTCTTCTTACAAACAGCCTCAGTCAATGACACTCATGAACCTTGATCTTATCTGAAAGCATTAGACTTTGGTCTCGAAGTCAAAGCCGCGTGCCGGAGCTGCAGAGGCCTTGAATCGGCACATTTCAGCAGAACAGCAGTTGTTTTTTTATTTTACGTACTATGGAGCCACATTCATTTTGATACTAACAGTATGTTGTTTATTAAAGACAAAAAGCCTCTAAGATCTTGGCCTCTTGTAAGACATTTCACGGTGGAGTGTTATCATGGCTGCTCTGCAGTATGAGTCACATGAGCATGCTACTATAGCTCTTTTGAGTGTAAGAGAATTGGGTTCTCATAGAGATAATACTATTTGGTAAGGTCTCTCAAAGTAAATTGGATTATTACAGGAAACAACATTTCCTTTGAGTCTGCTTTGCTCTGTGTTTATATTTCCTAGAGAAGGCTTTTCATTAGCGTTGCACTGTTTGCAAACTAGTTCTTCTTCACCACAATGTAGAACACAACCATGTAGTAGTTCCTCTGACAAAAGGGACCTTTTGTCAATAAGTTGTTATTGTGTGTGTTTGTTGGCAGTGCATTCATCAAAAAGTAATACAATTACTTCTTAGTATTATTCATATTGATTTTAAATATGACTAGTTATTTTTGTAAGATTTATTAAATCACTTTAAGCCCTGGTTTTGCATAACAAGGGTGTTAGGAGTCATGTTGACATATTGAATGGGTATGAAATTATCTTGGTTCGCTTTCTTCTCTGCTATTTTTTCACTGAGACAAAAAATAAATCTGAACATTAAAGCTTTTTTTTCTGTGGTCACAGTGTTTAAAGGTAAAAGGTTTGATTTTGTGAACTTAAACAAAATATTTAAAAGGTATTGAATTGCTTCTCCAGGAGGGTGATGAGGAAAAAACAAAAGTGCTTTTGAAGTGAGTCTGATGGCTTTTGTGATTACCAAACCCAACACTTACTTTATACAGCCATGCAATAGTGATGGCATTGAGACATCCGCCCTCACCTCACCGTCTCCTCACTCCCTATGGTTTGTTTTGGTGTGTGTGAGTAAGTGTTGGTTGTGTGTATCACGTCTTTGCCCTGCAAGACTCCTTCCGATCGATTCAAGGTGAGACCTGTCGATTAAACACCCTGAGCCGTGCTCTCTACCTAACCCCAGGGTGATTCAATCCCACCCCTTACACACACATGCACACACCCGTACACAAACACACGCACGCATACCTACCCACTTCACCTGTCATCCATCAATATCTCCATCTGGGCCTCTATTGATCCCCTCTATCCTGCCTCTTCACCCCTTGCAGTACAACATCAGGGCCAAGACGACGTCCGCACAGGTTTAATTTTTGACAGATTTACAATAAAGCTCAAGTTATTATTTAACTCTTCCGGCCGCAGTATGCTCTTTGATTTAGCACCCTGGGAGAGGATGAGTTACAGCTGACACGGAGAATCTGCCAGGGCTGGAATGGTAGGCCCCCGGTTCATAACTCAGCCGCCGAATGTGTAGTTAGTCAATCACTTGATCTGTAATCACAAATGCTGCCAGAAATTACATGAGTGATGAGCTGTAATAAAAGCACTTACTTTTCCTGCTCTGTCTCTTAAGTGTTATTGGCAGACCCCACTCTCCCAGGAGGCCGTGGCTGTGAAACAAAATCCCGATATAAACTGCCTCATTGGTCCCTGCCTCACGCTCTCTCCCCGGTGCGCTGCATGCGTGTGTCTGCGACTGTGTGTGTTTCTGTTGCTGGGTGTGTGTTATGTGTGTTAAGCAGAGTGCTCCCACTACAGTGTAATACAAAGCCCTTTTTCACAGTCTTTCTTCCACTCTTGGATTGCCTTGCTTCAGGACAAATGATCCTCTTTCAGTAAAAACAGTCATCCGCGTCCCTATCATTTACATTCTCGAATGTCTGCAGAGGTGCAAGGGAACACAACTTACTGACAGTGACAGTTTTTAGACACACCTGTTAGTATTAATTGGTCCGTGTAATACAACATATACGTACATATAGGTTTGAATGTGTTTCGATCCAGCAGTTTGTTGATACTGTTCAAACTTTATGCCTGACTCATTTCATCCTAGATGTCCTGAAGAGTTATGGTTCCTCACAGATATGACCTTATGTACAGGTAATCAAACATCCCAGGGCCGTGACACAAACGTTTCTTCGACTGTCTGTGACTCCCAGCTCCATAGCCTTTGGCAGGAGGTCATGCGTGACAGTTTTATTGATACGGACCTCGGTAATAATTACACAGCGTATTGCATGCACTATTGATCAGGCCTATTGATAAAATAATATTTTACTGTAAAGGTCTGTTGATTTGATGCATTACAGCATAAATCTCTCCTCACAAGCAGCTGATTTGGAACCCCTACTGCAGAGTGATGGATGTTCCCACAGATAAACACACACCCGCACAGAAGAATACACACACAAGTATTTATATCTATTGTTTGAATGAGGTAGTAACAGACACAGGTTAAAGACAGGCAAAGATGTAATGATATCCATATAAATATACGATCACATAGAGAAGACAAGTGGGATCTGCTATCCAGCACAGCTCATATGATGTGATGTATATATGCTAGGATGTTTATGGAGTCACAGCTCCATCTTATCATGATTTGTATTGTCAGCAGGGGCTGAATCTGCATGGTGGTAATAGATTCTGATGTGGTTCAAATGCCCCGTGGTGAATGGGAAATAGAGATGAATGTGACAGATCATACAGAACTTGTCCTGTATATAAACGGCCTTTAGAACTGTTGTTCTCACAGGCAGGGAGGACAGATTGTTGAACAGCAGGCGTGTAGGGAAATGTCATTGCTGGTATTAAACTTGTAAAAATGTGATCCTCAAAGCTGACCTCTACAGTTGATGCAATGAAATTGATATGATTTCCAGAGGAGAAACATTCTATACGTTTTTCTGGTGTTAAAGAGGTTTTTGTCATACTGAAGTTGCATGCAGCTGAAATCCAGACTAATGGAGGACTAAACACAAAGTGTCAGGTAATATACACTGGTACTTATGGTGTCACGCATTATCACCCTTTGATCTTACAATGGAAAAACATAGTATTTGTAATAAAGGAAAGGACCAAATGTATTACTATTGGAGGAAAGGAAAATTGGTCTTTATGGTTCAGGTTAAAAAGCAGCTCACTAGACCATGTTTCCGCTTTGGCTGCCAGTTCAAAAGCATGTTTTCTTTTTGGACTTTTCGCTGGCTGAATTCTGAACCACTTGGGGGTAGTTTGCAAAGGCTGTGGTGCACCAGCGACAGGCTGGTTTTCACATTTAAGCAGCCAAAGGGACATGGGAAACATGACCGTGTTCAAGAGGCCTACAAAAATCTAAAAGCCGGGTTACAGAGTTAATCACTGGCCCAGTGGAGACCCCCCCTGAGCGGCTGCTTCTACAAAATGCTGAACAGCATGTCTGGCTGTAGCGCAGGAATGTTGTCCTGCAGGGGACAGAGGAGGGGAAATTGATTTTAATCAGCAGTGATGTATTTTATAAGCATAAAACCTGCTCCAACTTGCACTGTTTGAAATGCTCTGGAATTCTGATACTATCAAATGCATGAAACCAATAAAAAGACAATAAAATAGCTCAACAGTTTCTACACTGCCTTTTAATTAATAGAAGTGTGGGAACATCATTTTGGAAAAAGCCTTCGTCACATAACAGGAAAAAAAAACAAATGTCTCCGTATTTTTGCGATCAATTCAGGACCCTACTTCCATAGTGTATGATTGATACATTATGGAATCTATCCATACCATCCTGTGACTTTGAACATACACACTACCATTGTACCACAACTGTTTGAAATGCTAATATAGAGCTTGTGAAATAGCAACAATACCGCCAGTGTGTTCCCCAGAGCTGGAGCGAGAAGGCAGAGCAAGACAAAGGCAGTTTTTAATCTGAGCAGGAAGCATACAGTGGCGATTCACTGTGACATGGTGATTGATATGAGTGAGTAGTGTATTTACCGAGTCTGACGGGATAGGAGAAAGAGAGTGTTTTCTTCCCATCCGTACGCTTATCTCCCTCCATAAATCACTGCCAATGGGATGCATAAATGTGGATGAGAAAATGTTGTATTGTTCCGACTCAGGCAATTCTACTTTGACCTTTACATTTGCCATTGGTCACTGGTGCTAAACGCATACCATGACCCTTTCTGACCTTGGGCCGTTCATATTTAATAGCCATGAAGCCTGATGGTTCATTAGACTGAATACAGTGTATGAACACACACGCACCACATAAACACTCCAAACAAGTAGTAACTGTAGTCAGGCCTAACATCTTTTCATGCCGTCATTTTCTCTGTCGATTTAAAATATCACATTAATATAGACAATATATGATCAGTTTTGTTCCCTTCTCATCAGTCTGCGTCTTTATGGCTATGATTCTATTATCCCTTTCCCAGCGGCACGCTATGATGGGATATGTCCATCCTAACCTTTGACTCAGGCCAGTGCTTTAAAGGTTCTGCTCTTTGCCCTTTCCCATTTGACCTGTCTGAAGTATACCTTTATAATTGCCTGTGTCGCTATCAAATGCACATATGAGAGGGGGCAGGGGCAGGGGGCCGAAGTCTGTCCGGTAACCTTTTGGCCTCTTGTTCATCCATTCTGCTTGGAGCGAGCACAGCAGGCTTCCTCCCCCTGCCCACAATCCCATACTGTATTAGTCTGCATGTCGGAATTATTGATGGTACTCTGGAAATATTTTATTGGTCAGTCATGACCTTTGACTGGGGCAATGCAAACACTAACCCCCTCAAAGCTTCCTATTGACATGGATATATATATGATCAGATGGCTAATAGAAGTATAGATTTAGAGTGGCTGAGGAGCTAGTCATTTAGATTTTAACACCATGAGGTCAGCATTGCTTTTCCCCACTATGCATGTTAAGGGTCACTTGGAAAGTCACATATTGAGTTTGTCACCTATCCTGTGATGTACAGGAAATACATTTTTAGGAAGACAAATGTATGTATAAATTAATAATACTAAATCATTTCAAATTACGGTTTATATTTCAAATCGCCAAACCTTAAATACTCTGTAAAATGGTGAATCTTTTTCTCGTACTGTCCTCCTCACATCTTTCTTTATTCAACATACTGTACGTCTCTTCATCAAAGGTAGTGTAGCTTGTGCTGAAGCACCCACAATTAAGATAAGCCCAACCCCAGCTGGACAATTACCTGCAAACTAACCTTTTCTGGAGGCACTTAAGAATGTAAGGACCCCTGAGGATAGATGCGCCTGAGTAGAACAAGCACTTGAACAGAGAGAGAGAGGGAGGGAGGTTGTAAGGTATGAGAATGCCGGGGTAGAGAAAGGGTGACAATGAGGAATACAAAAAAGATAGAAATAGAGAAAAAGACAGTATCATGGTGAGATTACCTAATCCTCTGTCTGAGAGCAGTATTTGAAGGACCTGGTGGTGTCAGACAAGAGGGGGCTTTGTGGAGGTTTACCCAGGAGAGGCCGGCTCAGCAGGGGGATCTAGTGTAACTCCAGGTGACCAGTGCTCTGTCCCCAAGCACAAACCTCAGCCCATGGCTTTGTAACCGCTGTTAAATTGATTGCAGGGAGCTGATGAGATTTCCCCGCAGCCCGGGTCATTATCACATTGTGTACCAGCTCTAATTCACTCGTACTGAGCCCTCTATGGATTGTCACTATGGTTTATGTAGTCATTTTTAATGTAAGTGACAGTATTTTCTGTCAAAAGTTCATATATCTGTCAGGTTGCGTGTGATAAAAC